AGGACCTGATATCACGTCCAGGCATCTACAACCCTTGCATACGGCCAGCTTTTTCCATCCGTAGCCTCTGAATTCGATGTATGAGATATTTCTCCGATTTTTTACAATGCTTCCATACGAGGGACGTGATAACTCGTCTACTCATACTAAACATAATTCAGTTTTCTAGCCGTGTATCATCGTCCTTCGAATGCAATTCCTGTACTTTGTGACAGTGCATTATTAAGGATTTACTTGATTATCTCCCCTGGTCAAAACCACGTGCTATATGATCTTGCCATTCGGTGACCACACAGCGGTAAATGGCTGGTCGTGGAAAATCGTATAGGACTGCAAGCCAAGTTCTATCTGCCATTTGTGATGATGCGAGTAACTGGTACGACGGTTGACGTTTGATTGTTAGCAATGTTCTTTGACTGTTAACTGCTCTTATAACTGTTACCACAGGTAACACTCGTTTCATTCGTTCTTTGGATGTCATGACCCTATAATCCTACGTGATGACATAAATCTTCTAAATTGTGGTTGTTCTTCCACCGTAGTGTAGTCACAGGATTAAGAAAATTGTCATAATTATCACACTGCTGTGTAAGTTCAATTATGTTTCTCCTTTTAGAAGAAACTGCATTTCCAATGTTTCTGGGATAAAGACGACCTAATATTTTCTCTTTTAGTCTGGAATATTTTAATAAAGGTGAATAAAGTTCATATGGAGTAATATGTTATGTTCCTCTTGAATGGTCCATGTCAACCGTTGCAACCATGGAGACGTGATATCACGTCCCTCGTATGTAAGTGTCTGTTGCTAAAAATAGTCTCGTTGTGACCCCTCAGACGTGACATCTCGTCCTTCGAATGGAAAGAGTTAAAGGATATGTTAGAAAAGCTTGTTTCAGTTCATCATTCGGCCTTTGTTTTAGATCCTGATAACTTTGCTTCTGTGACCCGCGAAGTTCTGATTGGAAAGGTTAGCAAGATGGGGAAACCTACCGATCGGCCTATGAAAGGCCGAACGGGATATTATAGGCCGACCAGGCTATATTTAACCATTATTATTTCACAAACTATCAATTTGCGTATGAAATGGTTTTATACGGTCAGAGAGATGAATAGTTATTGGACCTCCTCAGCTTGAAAAAAATAAGTTTTTGGACAAAATGGAAATATACATCATGTTCAGGAAAAGATGTTTCATTTAAGAACACAATTTTGCACAGATTTTCATTTTGGAAACTAAAACTGAATATCTATGTCATTAATTTTCAGTGACTGACCGAGTTTGGTTTTACGCCGCTTGTAGCAATATTCCATCAACATCAGGGCAGGGGACACCAGAAATGGGCTTCACACATTGTACCCATGTGGGGATTCGAACCCGGGTCTTCGGCGTGAGGAGCCAACGCTTTATCCACTAGGCTACACCACCGCCCCAATTTTCAGTGAAAATTGTCCAAAATATTATAGACTTATATTTAATTAGCAACTTCCAATATCCTTTATTATGTGATGAAAATGCTCAAAAATGGTTGAATGAACAACTTAGGATATCAAAACTTGAATGATGTTAATATCCTCATACGGAAATGCACCACTTCAAATTTATTTGATGAATATCATAATTATAGGCCGATAGGCCTATAGCAACATAGGCAGAACGGCCTTATATATCCCATTTGGCCTATTATAGGCCGATCGGTAGGTTTACCCCAACCTGGTTAATGCTGAGTAAGCTTTGTGCTTTGCTCAGAGGTCGGAGGACTAAAATTTAAACATCTCATACAACATATTCGTTATGAGATTATTTGAAATCGATTTATGTACTTACAATAGAATATGAGAACATTAACCTGAATTTAAATTGTAACTAAATCGTTCATAGTTACAAATTTGGAAATGAAAAGGGTGAGCGAGTTTAGTTTTACGCCGCAGCAATATCACGGCGGGGGACACCAGAAATTGGCTTCAAACATTGCACCCATGTGGGGAATCGAATCTGGGTCTTCGTGACGAGCGAAAGCATTAACCACTAGGCAACCCCACCGCCCGCAAATGGAAAGAAGCTGTGTTAAGTTTCCTGCTATTTATGACATATTTGGAAAGATGATTTCCAAACGATGTACGGACACCTCCGACATCACAATGATGATTCCACTCCATGTAAGACAATTACTCACCACAGTGATCTCTTCGTTTCGAATCAAACAAAACACCTCTGCCGCACGTCTGCCTTCTTGGCCGTCGCTGACGAATGTGGTTACATCACGTGAGTGAAAGCCGCGTTTTGCACGAGAAGTTTGCCGTCTTAGCTTCATGTTATTCCGGATTGATGATAATTGTCTGAACCGGTTTCAGATTCGCGTCACATTTCTTTCTATGACAGGTTAATGTTTCGCTTGAACTTTATGACGGTTTGTAAGTTAGAGAAAACATTTCACTATTTTATTTTTGGCTTTGGTTTGTACTCCCTAGCCTTTGCTGTTTCCTCCCCATCTTGTGCAATTTAAGAAAAAAAAATCGATTATTTTTTGCAATTACTCTTATTTATAATACCCGTAAAGGTCCGGGTTAGAATATTGATCTTCAGTAACCCAGGCTTGTCGTAAGAGGCGACTAACGGGATCGGGTGGTCAGGCTTGCTGATTTGGTTGAGATATGTCATCGTTCCCCCCAATTGTGGTGATCGATGCTCATGCTGATCACTGGATTGTCTGGTACAGACTCGATTATTTACAGACCGCCGCCATATCGCTGGAATATTGCTGAGTGCGGCGTAAAACTAAACTCACTCACTCACTTATTTATAATCTTATGGGGCTGAATTACTATGGAAAAAATATCTGATTAGGTGTTTTTTCTACTATTTTTTCTAATTACTCTTATTCATAATCTTATGGGGCTAAATTACTATGGAAAACCGATCTGATTATGTTTTTATCCGATATGTCACTTCATTCTCCATTAATCGGAACATGTTTCTCGAGGTTCAGCTCCATGTGTGCGTTGTCCATGTTGTAGTTTTATCATGACGTGTCTGGTAAATGTTGGATCATTCCATCAGGATTCAGGGTAGAAGAAATCCTTTGCAACCTGTTGTAGTTGTAAGTAGAGAAGTACTGATGTGATGGTCAAACTCGGTGACTTGATTGAAGGCCTGTCATCCTACCCAAACGGCGAAGTGAGTGGTTCACATTATCAGCCACTTGTTTGTCTGAACCATATTGGGGCGGTGGGATAGCCTAGTGGGTAAAGCGTTGGCTCGTCACGCCGAAGACCCGGGTTCGATTCCCCACTTGGGTACAATGTGTGAATCCCATTTCTGGTGTCCCCCGCCGTGATGTTGCTGGAATATTGCTAAAAGCGGCGTAAAACCAAACTCACTCACTCACTCACTGAACAATATTTGACTCTCCCACCTTGTGCGAAATACACGTCATGTCGGAAAGCGCACGTAAAGTGATTTGAAAAATAATGAATAATTTTTCTCTGATGATACATCTATGTATCCGAAATGGATCCCTATCTTTCGACTCTAGAAAAACGTTAGCAAAACCAACTCAAACCCATCCATTCCTCGTGCAAATGACGTTAGTGCCAAATCAGGTTTTGCACGTGCAGTCGATCACGTGATCTTCGCATCGAAGTTTTCTTCATATACACGTGTTTGCATTGGCCTCAAGAATTGAAAAAACACTTTTAAACAACAGTTCTAACGGTACTTGAAATGCCACGATTGTCAAATGTGCAACGTGAACGTGCCGTTGGCATGTTGCAAGCGGGAAGATCAGTTATTGACGTCGCAAGAGCAATGGGATGCAGCCGTCGTACTGTGTATGACTTGCGAGGTCGTCTACAACAAACTGGCACGACTTCTGATCGCCCAAGGTCGGGTCGTCCACGTGTGACGTCACGAGCAGAAGACCGTCAAATCGTCCTACGTCACCTACGTGACAGATTTCTGCCGGCTACACGAACCAGGGCTGAGATGTTTAGAGGTCGACTGTCCTCACAGACCATTCGAAATCGGTTGCGGGCTGCCAATCTCCATTCTCGACGTCCATATCGTGGGCCAATATTGACGCCGTTTTATCAACGTCAACGTCTGCTGTTGGCCCAACGTCACCTCCGATGGACCCAGAGAGACTGGAATCGAGTCGTCTTTAGCGATGAATCCAGGTTTACCCTCAGATTCGCGGACGGCAGGCATAGGGTCTGGAGACGACGTCATGAACGGTATGCCCAATGTTGTGTACAGGAAGTCGACAGATTCGGGGGCGGAAGTTGCATGGTGTGGGGTGCTTTCTGTGGGAACAACCGTTCCCGACTTCTGGTCATCCTTGGAAACCTCACAGCTGCTGCTTACCGCGACCAGGTGCTCACCCCTGAACTCGTTCCTTTCATGGCGGCTCATGGCCCAGGTCTACAGTTCCTGCATGATAATGCTCGGCCGCATACCGCGATGTTGACACGAAATTTCCTTCAAAACGCTGGAGTCAACGTCATGGACTGGCCATCGAGGTCCCCTGACCTTAATCCAATAGAGCACGTTTGGGATGCACTTGGGAGGAGGCTTCGTGGTCTTAGGAACCAACCTCAATAGTTGCAGGAACTTGGCGCTGCCTTGCAAGAGCAATGGCGCAGAATCCCCAACCACGTGTTCACAAGCATCAGGCAGTCGCTGAGGAGACGGTGTTTGGCAGTGGTGAATGCGCAGGGCGGCCATACACGATATTGAACTGAGAAATTTCGCATTTTTATTCTTGTGACTTGACATTCTGTATACCCATGTTTTGGAACGGCGGTGTAGCCTAATGGAACTGATTATGGCACTGTCAGTGTATCGAGTACATCACACAAATCTCAGCAATGAAATAATAACAATTTCACCATCTTACCATCTTTTGTTCTTTTATATATAGTGCCCTCAAGAAAGAATGTGAAGTTTCTTTTTTGACTCAGTATATTTATAGATAAATACCTAACATACACATCGGTTTTACAGGATGAAGTTTGAACGGGATGTTCCTATCGCCGTTCTTTCTCTAACACAGGAGTACATAAGACCTTTTCCTCCACCTCACCCCCGAACCCCACAACAGCGATCCCAAAATAAATGCTACAAAACCCGTTTCCGTAATCACGGAAAAAACAAAGTAACATTCAACGGCATTACCCCGTTTGGCAAAGATGGTAGCTTTAGTCAATTTTATAGTATAGAAGGAACCACAGTCGTAGTGATATGTCCGCTTTGGTAATTTTCTGCGAGTGTTTAGTTTAGTAGAGAAGAGTAACAGTAATACTAGTATATTTACAGTGATGTAACCTGAACACATCAGTCACAAATAACAAGGTAAATGGTCAACAGAAAGGACTGATTTCAGAAACAAACATCGTGTTTCAGATTTCAACTCGTGACTAATGGAATCAATAGTGTATATACTTGTTACGAAGCTAAAGACATTAAGGAAGAAACTCATGTCGGCAAAAACTATCTTGTGACAAACAGAATCGATGGCGTTCACTTCTTGTAGGAAGCTGAACATACCGATTTCTGCTTCGTTGACAACGGTCTACGCCGACGATATACGATGACACAACTTGAATGTAAGAGTCAAACTCATTGCGATATAATGCTATTATTTCAATGAGAGTGTACATATAACGTAGTAGTTATGGACCTGTATCGTGACGTCACCAAACCTGTCCTGGCCCGAGACAACTAACCCAATCTCTCCCATGTCACCAAATCTGACACGCCCCACGTTTCCAAATCTGAAACGTCTCAAGTCGGAAAAACCTGACCCGTCCCGAGTCTCTAGACCTGATGTTTCCTACGTCACCAAACGTGGATGCCCTACGCCACCTAAGCTGACCTGCCCAAGTCACCACACCTGACCTGTCCCTCATCAGCAAACTTGAAACGTCTCGAGACCCCAAAACTCACATTTCTAACGTGACCAAACCTGTCCCGTCCCACGTCACCAAAAATGTTCTGTTCCCGGTCAACAAACCTGTTCTGTTCCGCGTCACCAATCATGACCTGTCCCAGGTCACCAAACCAGACCTGGCCCACGTCACCATACCTGACTTGTCCCACGTCACCATACTTGACCTGTCGTGCGTCACCAAACCTGACCTGTCCCACGTCACCATACCTGACCTGTTGTACGTCACCATACCTGACATGTCGTACGTCACCAAACTCGATCTGGCCCACGTCAGCATACCTGACCTGCCGTACGTCACCAAACCTGACTTGTCCCACGTCACCAAACCTGACCCATCTCACGTCACCAAACCTGACCTGTCCCACAGTAGCAAACCTGACCTGACCCACGTCACCAAACCTGGCCTGTCCCACGTCACCATACCTGACCTGTCGTACGTCACCATACCTGACCTGTCGTACGTCACCGAACCCGAGCTGTTGTACGTCACCATACCTGACCCATCTTACGTCACCAAACCTGACCTGTCCTACAGTAGGAAACCTGACCTGACCCACGTCACCAAACCTGACCTGTCCCACGTCACCGAACTGACTTGTCCCACGTCGGCAAACCTGACCTGTACCACGTCACCAAACCTGACCTGTCCCACGTTACCAAACCTGATCTGTCCCACGTCACCCAAACTGACCTGTCCCACGTCACCAAACCTGATCTGTCCCACGTCAACAAAACCTGACCTGTCTCATGTCACCAAATCTGACCTGTCCTACGTCACCAAATCTGACCTGTCTCATGTCACTAACTCTGAGCTGTTCCACGTTACCAAACCTGACATGTCCTACGTCACCAAACCTGATCACTTCACCAAACTTGGCCTGTCGACTTCGCCATATCTGACCTGTCTCACGTCACCAAAGCTGACCTGCCCAACGTCACCAAACCTGACCTGTCCCACGTCACCAAACCTGACTTGTCCTACGTCACCAAACCTGACCTGTCCCGAGTCACCAAACCCGACTGTTCCACGTCACAAAAGCTGTTTTGTCCCACGTCACCAAACCCGACTGTTCCACGTCAGCACACCTGACTGGTCCCACGTCACCAAAGCACGTCTGTCCCACGTCACCAAACCTGACTTGTTTCACGTCACCAAACCTGACCTGTTCCATGTTACCAAACCTTACCTGTCCCACGTTACCAAAGCACTTCTGACCCAGGTCACCAAACCTGACTTGTCCCACGTCACCAAACCTGACCTGTTCCACGTCACCAAACCTGACCTGTTCCACGTCACCAAACCGGACCTGTCCCACGTTACAAAACCTGACCTGTCCCACGTCACCAAACCTGACCTGTCCCACGTCACCAAACCTGACCTGTCCCACGTCACCAAACCCGTCTGTTCCACGTCACCAAAGCTGTTTTGTCCCACGTCACCAAACCCGACTGTTCCACGTCACCACACCTGACTGGTCCCACGTCACCAAAGCACTTCTGTCCCACGTCACCAAACCTGACCTGTCCCACGTTACCAAACCTGATCTGTCCCACGTCACCAAACCTGACCTGTCTTATGTCACCAAATCTGACCTGTCCCACGTCACCAAACCTGACCTGTCCCACGTTACCAAACCTGATCTGTCCCACGTCACCAAACCTGACCTGTCTTATGTCACCAAACCTGATCTGTCCCACGTCACCAAACCTGACCTGTCTTATGTCACCAAATCTGACCTGTCCCACGTCACCAAATCTGACCTGTCTCATGTCACCAACTCTGACCTGTTCCACGTTACCAAACCTGACATGTCCTACGTCACCAAATCTGATCACTTCACCAAACTTGGCCTGTCCACTTCACAATATCTGACCTGTCTCACGTCACCAAAGCTGACCTGCCCTACGTCACCAAACCTGACCTGTCCGACGTCACCACACCTGACTGGTCCCACGTCACCAAACGTGTTCTGCTCCACTTCAACAAACCCGACTGTTCCACGTCACCAAACCTGACCTGTTCCACGTTACCCCACCTGGTCTGTCCTACGTCACCAAACTGACCGAGTACCGAGTCACCAAACGGTGAAAGTCCCGCGTGACCAAACCTGGCCTGTCTTAAATTATTAAACGTGGTATGTGCCATGTCCCTTCCATACTCAATAGATTAACAGTCTTGTGACCTTGACCTTAAACGGAGTGCAATCAAAAGTTTTCCAGTTCCGTATTCCATCACTGGGATAATATGTATCAAATTCCATAGCATTTCTTTGTACCCTTCAGTTATATTTACCATATAAATGGATCGTGATTAGAGCATCGGAATCAGTATTATAAGAGGAATTCAAAGGCTTTCCACCATGGAAACCAAATATGATTTCACTTGGTGGAATTTTGCTTATAGTGTATACTACTTCCTTAAAGTGGGTCACTGTGACCTACATGTACTACTGATATGATATTTTCATACGTAAGCTCTCAAATGACAGAGCACATCATACTTGTGAATTCCGTCATAAATGCATGCATTATTATGTTTTACAGATTAAGATGAAAAACTGCAGCAGAGAGGTTTCGGGTGATCCTGGCACAGTCAGGTTGGTAAGGCTCATCATCAGCTCAGGGCCCTTGCCCCCTCTACACGCAGCCAAGACAGCGAATGGGACTTCTCCCAGGAAACGCTGCCTAGTCGAACCCACCAAGAACTTTCCGGAGAATATGTAGACTCCCCAGCACTGTAGCCTTCTGCATCACCCAGGGTGTCAGAAGAGCTGTGCTCCCGGTGGAGAACACGGGCACTCTCCTGACCTGTGCCAAGAGACCAGGAGGTACCAAACGAAGGGCAACGAGAACAATGAGGAGCCTGACGACATTGTACTTGGGATACAAGCGATATACTTAAATGGCGAAGACCGCATATTTGGCATGCTTTTCCTGAATCTTTCCAATCACGTTGCTGTCAAAAGGGACAGAAACTTCAATGATATAAATAAATTCATTAGCTTTATCAAAAAGGACAAGACCAGGCTGGAATTCTTCTGAGGTTGTATATAGGCCTATTCCTAAGAAGTTTAAAAGCAGCATTTTCCATGACGCCCTGGACATGTTCAGGGTCGTACCATGGATGGACCTCCTCCGATGTTTCTCCACAAATGACCGACTCTGGGCAGACTTGGTTAATGACTTCATCTGGTTTACTCCCATCGCTGTACCGTCCAGCAGTACATCGCCATCAGCAAAATCAACTTCAAATTTCAGATTCACTAGAGGATCACTAGAGGATCACTAGAGGATCATCCGATAAATAAATATGTGCAAACTATAATAATAGTATTATTATAACCACTACATCAGTAAGGCCTGACTGAAAGAAATATCCAAGGAAGGCATTCAAATGAAAATTGGAAACATACTTTCTCGAATGAGATTTCCTGTGAGCTTTACCTTTCACACAACTTACTCACGACCTTTTCCGGAGCTGAACCAAGGCTCTCTAAATACAATGCTTATACCTAATACTAATATTTACTGTTCCAAAACTAACTCGCATCATAGCTTCTGTGTAAAGCTGGGTAGTTACAAATTTGTTATCAGGTTAAGTCCTTTAAGGTGGCCTTGGCCCACATCATGACTGGTCAGTGACTACTGATAAAACGTAATTATCAACAAAGTTCAAAGGAATATAAGAGGTGCCTTAATAAACATATTAATAAGTACAAAACTGAATTTAGCACAATGATAAGAGAAAAAGCTAAACATTCACCTAAGGAATTCTGGAAGATTCTCAATAAAAGTAATGTCAAACAAAATTCGGAAACACCCAATATCGCTGATTTCTTTGAACATTTTAAGAATATAAACGGTCAACACCATGTGGATAATCTGGAAGTAAACGAAGAAACTGACGAAGAAACTGATTATGATGACAATGTGTTGAACAGAGAAATAACCTTGGATGAAATAGCACAGCCCATTAAGAGTCTTAAACGTAACAAAAATCTTCAGGGTCCGACAGAATTGAGAACGACTATCTTATTGATTCGTTTGATGTCTTTGGAAATCTACTTGTCGATTATTTCAATTTAATATTATCTTCAGGAATATTACCTGATGCATGGCTCTCTGGTTCTATACGCCCCATCTACAAAGGCAAAGGTACCAGATCCGATCCTAACGCTTACAGACCCATCACAATACCTAGCTGTTTTGGAAAACTTTTCACCACTGTTCTCAATAAAAGGTTAAATGACTTCCTGGAGATATATAATATTTTGAATTCAGCGCAAGCCGGATTTAGAAATAGTTACTCTACAACTGATAACATCTTTGTCTTGGATATGCTTATTCAGATTCTTAAACAAAGTAAGAGAAAACTATATTGCGCTTTTATTGATATCTCAAAAGCCTGCGACAATGTGTGGAGATTCGGCGTATGGCATAAAGTACTAAAATGTGGTGTTAAGGGTAAATTCTTCCAGTTAGTCCAAAATATGTATGCAAATATAAGGTCATGTGTGTGTTTAAATGGCGCCGTATCACAGTATTTTCCATGTTATTCAGGCGTGCGGCAAGGAGAAAATTTATCACCTCTGTTATTTTGTCTCTTCATCAATGATCTTGAAACATTCCTACTGAAAGACGGATGCACGGTTGTTAGAATTGGCGATTCGAACAATTTACATGTGCAATTATGTATCTGTTTCTTAATCCTTCTCTACGCGGACGACACGGTCCTACTTGCTGATTCTGCAACTGAACTCAAGTAAACATTAGATTCCTTTAAAGACTATTGCAATATCTGGAAAGTGGATGTTAACCTGAAAGAACTAAAGTTCTTATCTTTGGAAGCCGGCCGTCCAAAAATTGTAGGTTATCTTTTTTTTGGAAAATACCGAAAATTGAATTGAGATCGCAGATAATTACACATACTTAGGTGTTATATTCAGTTGAAACAGGAACTTCAGGTCAGCAATCAAATGTTTATCAGAGGGTGCATCTAAAAATGGCGATTTTTATCAAAACTTTACATCAAAACGCAGCTGTTCACATGCACGATATTTGCACATGCTTTTCAGCAATTTGATGCATGATCCTCGTGCAATTATTCTGCATAAGGTTTGCAGATGTTTCCCCCAAATTAGCGGAGAAATTCATCTTCGTTGTAACCATATGTACATATATAACTTATAGTGATTGATTTAAGCGAGTCTAAACTTTTGATGGGTAGTATATTTCATGAAGTGTTTCAAGCCAATGGCTAACTGCTCGAGTAGAACAGACTCTAAAAGATCAGTTCTATCAAAACTGGAGATCTGACTAGAGAGAAGCCCGAAAGAGCTTTATTATAAATACTTTTTTTATAAGATATTCCTTCATTTGATAACTATCTCCTTCTGCCTAAACAAATATACTACCCTCCCTTGAAATACAGATCTTGTAACCATAATCTGCCTGTCGAGGTTGGCCGTTGGCTTGGCATAGAGAGAGAATTTAGAACATGTAAACTGTGTATGTCGCCAGCTGTAGCTGATGAATTCCACTACCTGTTTAAATGTGAAGCTTTTTATGAATGCAGATTCAAATTTATCCCAAATAAAGTACAACAAATTGTTGAGTAGTAGAAATGTAAAAGAAATCAAGAACCTTGCACAATTCATCTGTATAATGGAAAAGTACCTTCGAGTGTGATTGTATACATGAGTACAGAATTTCTGATGCGGATTTTATATTTATCTGTCTAGATTTATATATTCATAATTGTTTTCAGTCACAATATCTTAATGTTGCCAATTATCTGTACAATATAACCGCCATCGTGTAAAGTACAAATTATTGTTATTTTTGAAAAACCTTTCTCCTGTACCACCGTGGGTGTTTTTTTTGTTGAAAATATAATGAATTGAATTGAAAATTGAATTGATACAGCCTCTGCAGGTAACTTACGTGTTTGGACGTGGATTCTGTAGTTCAGCGTGATGAGTACATGGTTACAAATTTGTTATCAGGTTAAGTCCTTTGAGGTGGGCTTCGCCCACATCGTGACTGGTCAGTGACAATTGACACAGCTTCTGCAGGTCACTTACGTGTTTGGACGTGGCTTCTGCAGTTCAGCGTGGTAAGTACATGGTTACGAATTTGCTATCAGGTAAGGTCCCTTAAGGTTGCCTTGGCCCACTGGTCAGTGGCTATTGACGTACATGTATGCCGATTGACACAGCCTCTGCAGGTCACTTACGTAAATCATCACAGTTTACAATACCTTGGTGAAATATGTGTATTCCAAGAATCATCATGTCCGTTCTAAACTAGGTTTTAAACATTCCATCATGGCAGTTTTTGCCTTTTAAATGTTTACGTATCCTTGTTCCACCCTTAAACAGATGTGTCCAAATGACTAGATTCTGCTGTCCCTTCAATACATTAAGCAAACCTTTTCAGAACAGTATCTGCAGATTGCACCTAACTGAAACACGCCCTACGCCCCTGTTCTCTGTTGTGACAGCATTCTGGATTTCATCCTAACTGAACACCTATACGTTCTTGACAAAATAAATAACATTCACAAGAATCTGAGACGCCTATGGAGTTGTAAAGCAAAGATTTTCCCAAACAGTTTTCATTACTTATAAGTATCAGAAGCTCTGCACTTTCGCACAGCAGTCGTAATTCACACTTATCAAAGCTATCGATTACTTCATTGTCTAGTTTGTTTACAGGCTGTCGTCGCATAGCAAGAAATAGGAGAAGGTATTATTCGTAAAGTTTGTTCAATACTGTACTTCCCAACTTCAAAGATGCCACTCAAAGAGGTGTACTAAAAATAGAACACTGTGAAGAAGAAGTGAAACAACATACTCCTGATATTTGTCTTTGTCATTTCTCCACAACGTAAAAATCTCTCAGTTTATTGCATGTGAGGGAAGCTGTGCGTTCTAAAGACCACATACTTATGAACATGCTTGAAGTGAGCTGAATGGAACCACATACTCAAATCTTCATACCTCGTAAAATATGTGATTGTCTTGTAGGAAAACACACCATACATGCCCCTTTTTCTATTGATGTTTCCTAGCTTTTAAATCAAAACATTAAAATGACTATGGTTACCATGCAGTTCAAACTGCAATGTTAACATAACCCAATACGAGCAAGGAGCGTTAGTCACAACTTGACAGTTGGAGATCAAGGTGATGCAAATGTCGTCTAACCATAGCAAATGTGTTTTCCTAATTTTTGGAATCATACAGTCAGTCCGCGGTGACAACTGTAAGGACATGGATTCTCTAGTTCAGCGTGACAAGTACATGGATCACCAGGTGTTCAGAAAGTGCGGGAGTCAGTCTCTCTACACCTGTGCATCAGAATGTCTGATGTCCTCAGCATGTCTGTCCTTTGGATTTGAGAAGAAAACGCGCACCTGCCTACTATACAGTAACAGTAGTGATACTTCTAACGTTGTCGACAGATCGGGATTCCTCTTCAGTGATATTCAACACTGGCCAAAGGTTGGTGCTCACAGTAGATATTGTTCTTTCATTTCAGGTCACCTCAGTTACTTCTGAATGTCTTCAATATATATCCTAGTAGAAGGAGTTTTCCATTTTCTTGGATGTATACTGATTCAGTGAGTCTTTTGACGGCCCCAATGTCAAGTGTTCTAAATTCCTCTTGTGTAGAGGTGCTAGTAGAATCTTCTTAAAATCAAGAGATCAAGAAAAGACTGACCTTAAAGAAATCTAAACTCTTTCATACAGGAACCTGTGATTCACAGTTATATTGTTAAATATCAAACACGAAGGAAAACTATAGTAGAGTTGAAAACAGCTTTTGGGTTGTGTCTATCTGCACTGAAAGTATTTCATTGTCTATAACAGTGACGCCGAGAGTTTGTGAGGACAATGAAAGCAATGGCTGAAGTTTGTATTTATTGGTTAATACAGCATACGAGTGACACTTTGAATTATTTACATAACGCGCGTGTCACAGCTGCGGCAGTTTGCGAAGATGCCGTTTCCCGAGCAAATCTAACCGTACTGCTTAAGTCTTTGATCGGTTGTGGTGGAAGGCTGATGTTTTCACAGATGTGTCCAAATTTGAGCGTTCTGCTCAAGTCTGTCATGGATTAGAATCGCCATGGGGGTGGTTCAAAGATAATTTGGGGTGGGATGAGTGCACGTCAGAAAACCCCCTTCGTTCTTGTTCAGGGCTGAGTATTTGACAGGTTTGGGCTACAGATTCTCGGATCAGTGGCAATTCCGTTTCTTCAGCATCATGGCCCAGGATTGACATTGAAACAGGACAATACCGTCTTCACAGGGCAAGATTTGCAATGGGTTCTGGTCAATAGCAAAATATTCAAATGCTGCCTTGGCCTTCAAATTCATCAGATCTCTCCAATATTTAGCATGTGTGAAAAGAAATGGACCGACATCTACTTTGTGTACCAAATCCTCCAGATAACGTTTGGCAGTAGATATGCAGAGCATATGGCAAAGCGATCACACAAGCAGTTCGTACCATTTGATAGACTGTTCTCGATTTTCCCACGCTGGGCATACCCGTTATCATTATACATGCTTTTCTTCGAATGATCTTCATATCCACCTTCTAAAGTTCACATGGAAACTGTTTGTTTCTGTTATATTTTCAAATTGTTTGTGTGGCTAGTATAGCTTACTGATATTTTCACGACAGGTATCTATCTTCTTTTATGTTAGGGGCGGTGGGGTACGAATCGTAGCCTAGTGGTTAAAGCGTCCTCTCCTCATGCTGAAAACCCGGGTTCGATTCCCTTCATGGGTATGTGTGAAGCCCCTTTCTGGTATCCCCCGCCGTGATATTGCTGAACGATTACTAAAAGCGGCGTAAAACTAGACTCACTCATTCGTTTAACATCACAATGATCCAACCTTTAGTTTTTGTTGCATCATCTTTATATAAGCCAACTCTTTTCATGAGGCATCTTAGTTGACATTTTTAGTGCCACATTCTTTATCAATCGCACTATATTGCAGCCTGTATTTGATTGGCATTTAGAACAAGTCACACGTCAGGCACTGTAAGATATTCGTTTCGGTTAAACTCCTACATTTGATAACAGTTCGTAAGAATTTGCCTGTATAAGATTTGGAACCACTCATGCGCAGTGTGTGTGTATCTAGCCATGTGCTTATGCCGCCGAAGTTGAATACAGTTGAGAGGAGCTCACTATCGCGTCATGTTGTTAATCCACGCCAGCGCAATACAAAACATGGTGTCAGAAGTGAAGGCTTACGACTACTAGACATCGTTTCACGACCTGTGTAATAGTAGTTCAGTCAAGAAATGTCTGTGAAGATCGAAATTCCCCCGATGGACTTCGAGTCGGTGAATGTCGGCGAGGCATGGCGGCGATGGCAGCAGACGATGAAGTTGTTGTTGACAGGACCACTGTCAGGCAAGAATGACAAGCAGAAGTGTGCGTATTTTTTATTGCATATTGGACAAATAGGAAGAGATATATTCAATACGGGGACTTTGACCGCGGACAAAACTGACAAAATTGATGTGTTGTTTGCCAAGTTTGAGCAACATTGCGTACCGCAACAAAACACAACAGTTATGAGATTCCGTTTTTATTCAAGAAATCAACAACGGAGCGAAGGTGTAGATCAGTATGTGACAGAACTGAAGAATTTAGCAAGACACTGTGCTTTTGGGGGAAATTGAGAATGAGATAATTCGAGATCGAATAGTATGCGGAACGAAGGATAAACAGGTTCAAGAACGACTGCTGCAAGAGGCAGATTTAACACTGCAAAAGGCAAGAGACTTAGCAAGAAGTTTCGGAATGAGTAAAGAACAGATGAAGAAGATGGAGTGCGATGTACAGTTTTGGTAAGCATGGCAACCACAAACATGATAAAGATAAAGTGTTTCAGAGTCAGACTTGTCAAATGTGTGGAAAATTTCATTCATGTCAGGAATCATGTCCAGCAGTTGGGAGGGCATGTTTGAAATGTCATAAAATAGGACATTATGCATCAGTTTGTAAAGGTGACAATAGACATTCTCCAAAGGGAGGTAATGTTCACTCCAGACATAGTCGTGGAAGATTCCAAGGTCACAGGAATAGTGGAAATGCTCCAACAAACAGAGTTCATGGAATTGAACAGTCTACTGAGGATTTCTTTATTTGGTCTGTCGAGAAAGGTCAAGAAGTAAATAAAGATGAGATTTATATGCCAATGACTGTAAATGGCAGTGCGGAAACAAACATGAATCTTGATTCAGATGCCCAAGTGAATGTCTTACCAGATGATGAGTTTCACAGAGTTCGTAGCAGAGCAGGTCCGCTGCGTCCAACTCAGACCAGACTATTTGGTTATGGTGGTGTTCCACTGAGGATCTTAGGACTGACAACATTACAATGTCAATACAAGGAAGTGTCGAATAGGTTTGATTTCATCGTGGTGGATCATGATGATAAACACTCACCTCCAGTATTGGGACTCAAAGCTTGTAGAGAGATGGGCTTGATACAGGTTGTGTTGACAATCACAAACTCTTAAGGAAGATTCTTAAGGAATTCAAGGATGTATTCCAAGGGATTGGATGTATCGAAGATAAATATTGCATACAGATTGAGGAAAATGCAGTACCAGTTGTATATGCTGTACGAAGGGGCCCTTTAGCTTTGGATACAAAAATTCAGAAAGAATTACAAAGAATGGAGGATTTAGGTGTGATATGTAAGGTAGATGAACCAACCAGTTGGGTAAACTCAATGGTGGTTGCACCTAAATCAAATGGTGAAATTAGAGTTTGCTTGGATCCTACTGACTTGAATAAAGTGGTGAAGCGTGAACATTATAGAATGCCAACTCTGCAAGACATAACACCAAAGTTGGTCGGACAGAAGTATTTTACAGTGTTGGATGCCAAGTCATCTTTCTGGCAAGTACCACTAGACTCCCAGTCGTCCCTACTGACAACATTCAATACTCCATTCGGACGATATCGATTTATGAGATTACCTTTTGGCATCAAAAGTGCAAGCGAGATCTTTCAAAAGAGAATGGATAGTGCTTTTGAGGGTTTGGGGCATACTCACCCTTTTGTTGATGACATTTTGATCCCAGGTAGCACGACAGCTGAACATGATAGTCGTCTCAGACAAACACTCCAGAGAGCCAGGGAGAAGGGTATTAAGCTGAATCCAGATAAAACTCAGCTTTGTCAACAAGAGGTGAAATTCTTTGGTGAAATTCTTACATCTGACGGGATGAAACCAGATCCTGATAAAGTCCAGGCTGTGAAAGACATGAACACTCCAACTTGCAAGAAGGAATTGGAAGGGTACTTAGGCATGTTTACCTATCTGGCACAATACGCTCCAAGTTTGTCAGAGAAGACACACGTACTACATGAACTAACAAAGCAAGATACTTGTTCTGTTGGACACCGGAACATGAAGCAACATTTCAAGAAATCAAGAATATGATCACTAAGTCACCAGGGCCTATTTTACAGTACTTTGACCCAAAGAAGTCAGTGACTCTTGAGACTGACACATCACAGAATGGTCTAGGGGCAGTCATATTTCAGGATAAGGGACAAGTAGATTTCGTATCGAAGGCAATGACTAACTCACAGAGGAACTATGCCCAAATAGAAAAGGAGATGCTTGCCATTCTGTTTGGTTGTGAAAAATTTCACTACTATCTGTTTTGGAGAAATTTCAAAGTCAGAAACCACTAGAAGTTTTTTTCACGAAGCCATTACATGCTATTCCCTGAGACTTCAACGCATGAGAATGAGACTTCAGGTCTATGATGCAGATGTAGAGTTCACACCTGGGAAGAATGTTCCTGTAGCAGACATGCTGTCTCGGCATTTCATAGAGTCTTCGTCAAACAAAGAAGACCTGTCTCTTGATGAAGATATCCAGTCATATGTACACATGGTGACAAGCAGCTTACCAGTATCTGACAAGAAGATGGAAGAGATCAGAAAGGAAAGTAGTGACGATAGTCAACATTTAATGCTTATGAAAATAATCATGAACGGATGGAAATGAATTTGCATGATTGTCCAAGCAGTATCAAAGAAATTGGGAATTTCCGTGATGAATTGACAGTTATAGATGGAATTGTCTACAAGGGTGACAAAATTGTTATTCCAATTTCCATGAGAAAGGAGATGTTAAAAAGGATACATACAGGCCATATGGGAATTGTCAAGTGCGAAGAAAGAGCTCGTGATGTCATATTCTGGCCGCGTATGACAGCTGACATTGAGAGAACTGTTGAGATTGTGGCACTTGTCAGCAGAACAGGATGAAACAGTGCAAGGAACCGATGATACCCAGTGAAGTTCCTAAGTTACCATGGCAGTTCGTAGCAACTGATTTGTTCTAGTTGAATGGACTTGACTATCTGCTTGTAGTTGATTACTACAGTCGATATATAGAGATTGCTTTGCTGTCAAACACGAAGTCGAAGACTGTGATAACTCACATGAAGTCGACGTTTGCACGGCATAGTGTACCGAGCAGAATTGTCTCTGATAATGGGCCACAGTATGCATCAGAGGAATTCAGAGAATTTGTTCAAAAGTGGAACATTGAACATATTACCTCCTCATCCTTGTATCCACAAGCAAATGGTCTAGCTGAAAAGTCTGTACAGACTGTGATACGACTACTGCTTAAAGCTAAGCAGAGTGGTGATGATCCTTATTGGTCTTTACTTGCTTATCGCAAC